TTTCATAAACACACATGCCAGCCATTTTCTCAAAAAAATTGGGCAGTTTTGGAAAAAATGGCTTGCAAGTGAGTTTATTCATTGTTGAATGAACCATACAACCAGTAGGCAAGCAGGCCAGACACTAAACTGACGTGGTCTCAAGTTGGTTAACAGCACCCTTGTCGCACAGTGCTGCATCGGATATAAGTTCTAGACCTATATTTTATAGATCAGTTGACACTCAGTGATGTGGTTAACAGCACGTCAGCCACATTTACAACCCAGGACATTTATTTAATACTCATTTTAAGCTGACTCGAATTGAGTCAATTTTGAAGAAAAAAAATTCGCTTCTAGCAGACGAGCTTCTACCCACTACATTACCACAGACCTGTCTCTTACAATCAGTTCATGACATCAGAAAAGGCAACGGTTAAACACTTGCCTACTGCCCTGAAAATCTTAGATTCGAATTCAAACTGAGGTAAAATTTTATAATTGACTTTCGCTCCTAGATCAACCCAGCTAAATTCATTCAGGCAGTATTTACCTGCTCAGTTGCATTTAGTTATTCCACAAGTTACAGTGGAACCTCGCTTGACGAGCATAATTCGTTCCAGAATCATACTCGTTAAGCGAAACACTCGTTGTACAAAACAATTTTTCTCATAAAAATTAACGTAAAATATGATGTGTTCCATGTGAAAAAAATACTCACAAAATACTTTTTTTTAGTTTATTCAAAGAAGATTATATACATATTATTAAGGAGAGTCATCTTCATCTTTTCTTCAAACGCGGAACAAACCCACCTGAAATGCGAATTTGATTTGGAGACACACAAAAATCGAAATAATTATTGTACATAGCTAATCATTTTTTTTTTTTAATACTAGAAAGATGTCCAAAAGGCATATATTTTTGCCAACGCTTCGCTTTGGCGAAAATGCGACACAGCATTATCATTAAATAAATTTGCAACGCGCATAGCCACTTCCTTAATAGGGTAATGCTTCTTAATGTAAGATGCAACAGTCTGCCATGCTTTCAGCATTTCTCCTTTTTCGCCAGAAGATTGTTGCTTTTCTGTTACCTCCTCCGCCTCCTCTGACAAACTTTCCTCCAAAACTTTTTGCTGTGAAACACAATGCAACTCCATAAGCTCTTCGGTGGTCAGCTCTTTGCTGTGCTCTTCTACAAGCTCTTTGATATCACTGCTATCCACCTACAATCCCATGATAGTGACCAAAGACACAATCTCGTTGACTAGTTACACAGGTACTGTCTCGAACCCCTCAAAGTCACAAATCGACAACGCTCTCCGACCAAAGCTTCTTCCAAGCAGAATAGGGTTCTCTTGGTAACCTCTTCCCCCGCCTTGTCGATCATTTTGAGGCAGGCAATGGTGTGGAAGTGATTTTTCCAAAACTCTTTGAGAGTGAGGTTGGTCCCTTCAGTCACCTGAAAACAATGCTTGAAGTGTATAGCTTCTTAAAGTTAGAAATAACTTGCTGGTCCATGGGCTGGAGTAACGGAGTGGTGTTGGGAGGCAGAAACTGGATCTTGATGACACTACGATGCTACTGGAACGGGTGCTAAACACAGATTGATGTAACATGAGCACAATTCGGGACTTCCCCTCTCCTCTACTGTACTTTCTTTTCCATTGTAAAACAAACTGAGAATTATACTGAACTACAGAATCAAAGACAAATTATAAATACAATCTTTATACCGACATTAGGTTATCAATGTCAGACTTGGACATTAACAAAAGAACATGAGAGAAGACTAACCACCTGTGAAATGAGATGTTTGAGAATGGCTGCGAATAAAACCAGAAGAGATCGAGTGAGAAACGATGTGATTACAAGAACTATTGGAACCATACCCATCGTTAAATTTATTGAGAAGCAAAGAATGAAATGGTTTGGTCACCTAATGAGAATGGAACCAACGATGCCAGCATCAAGAGCATAAAACATGAAAATCGAAACACCAAGAGGCAGGGGAAGACCAAGAAGAAGATGGATTGAAGGAGTCACGGACAACTTGAGACTTCATAACATCACGGCATATGAAGCGACTGAGCGGGTCCTGGCTCGGTTGCCGATCATCTGATAGACTGCGACGCCTAGCGGCACAAGCAGATTTTGACAAAAGAAGAGAAGAAGACAGAATCAACATTCAACTTTCTGGAACTAAAGAAATCAACTTCAAAGTAGTAAACCATTTAACGCTTAAGAATTGGCTGATGGTGAAATTATCACAGACAACAATCAAAAAGCTTTTTTTTTTTCAAATTTTTATTTATTACATACTTCCAATCTGCTTTCTTCTATCAAATCACAACAGAAAAATTTTTTGCTTTGTTGTTGTTGTCTCTTACACACACTTTATCACACACATACATTTCTCTCTTTCTTTCAAACACATACTCTTTCTCTCTTAAAACACACATATTCTCTCTCTCTCAACCACTTTCTCAAACACACTCTGTGTGTGTCTCCTTCTCTGTTCAGTTGTTGTCTCTTAAGCCATGATTGTAGGACCAGCTTTCTTTGCTTCCAGTGTGACACCAGCTCCTGTGAAACCTGAGGCACCCTAACAAGTATTCCAAATAAAACTAAGTGTTAGCGTCGGTGTGATACTAAAATGCATACTTATCATAATTGTGAAGACCTAATTTTGAAATGAAACTAAACAGAAAATACTTTCTACAAAGGCAAACACTCTTTTTCCTTGTTCGTCTGAGCGACATAATTGTGCTGTGACTGCTTACAGCATAGCTGCAATATGTGTACCTTCCGGTCAAGGTATTCAACTCCATCATGCAATTTTTTTCACCAGGTTAGCCTACTGGTTTAATTTCATGGGACATTCTGCAGTCTTATTTGTGTTGTGTCCTCTTTGTCCCTTTATCTACAAGTTTTACCCCTGGAGAACCCACCTAGGGCAACCACGAGATGCCTGGTCAGCCCTCAAAGCAAGGCGGGAGAGATTATGGGCTTTCCCCGCCATTTCTTATTTCTGCCTGACAAAGTATAGTCATCTCATGCACAAAAGCCTGACAAAGTATAGTCATCTCAGGCACAAAAGCCTGACAAAGTATAGTCATCTCAGGCACAAAAGCCTGACAAAGTATAGTCATCTCATGCACAAAATCTGACATAGCCCAGTAATCTCAAGCAAAAACCTGACAAAGCCCAGATATCAGGTAACAGTATTCAAATATACTATTAATACTCCTTTGTAGAAATTATCTGTTTTAGAAATGTTAAGTGATTGACAGATGGAACATCCGAGGCCACAAATACAAGTAGCATTTTTATCACATACCAAGTCTCGCACCTGATGTCTCTTTAAAAACCTGACACTGAAAGGCAGACCAGGATGAGAGAAGAAACAAATGTTAAGTCTATCAAACAAAACAAACACACGATGAAACAAACCCGCTGTAATGGAATGATGTCTTTGTCCTTCAACTTCTGGCCACTGATGGGGTCTACCATGTCTTTTCTGATAATCTTCTCCACACATTCCATGGTCACAACAGCACCCCTGGAAGTTACATACAAGAAGAGGTTCACATAATTTCTTTAATTGTATCTGATCCTTTATTCATGACCTATTAGTTTATGTATGTATGTAACTATTACTGCCTGGAAGCTCAGTAAAAATTTTGATAAGACAAGTCGTTTTATATGACTGAAACTCAGAGCACAACTAAAAGAGAGGAAGCCTTATTACAAATTTTCGAAGACAGTCTTATGACGAATCTTTGGACCCATCAAAGATGCAAACAGTGGGGAATGGAGAATGAGAAGCAACAGCGAAATTCGTCATCTGTTTAAATCACTACTGATAACTGGCATCATTAGGGCTAATAGACTTGAATAGCTTGGGAATACTGAGAAAATGTCAGATGACAGAGGGGTAAAAACTATACACCAGGGAGATGAATGGTCGTAGACCACGAGGCAGACCAAGAAGACGATGGAGAGATAATATTCAGACAGATCTACCTGTCACCAACTGGACAGAGACGACCAACCAAAGAGATGAACTGAGATGGGTGATATCTGCAGCAATGACCCTCAAGGGCTCGGAATGCTGAAGAAGAAGAATCATTTCTTTACGAATAAACTACTGAATAACAGTAGTGAGTGCTATGTTTTTCTCTGTGAACACATGATGTTGAGCGTTGTATACCAAATCTGTCCCTGTGTTTGGTTCTGGGGCCCCATTTTGGGGGGAAAAACAGCAGATCCATTACCCTCCTCTCAAACATGCAGTAAAAGGTGTGGAGTGTTTCCTTCGGAGTTAGTGTGCATCTGCTTAAGAGCTGAGGAATGTAGAAAGTCTATCTAGTCTGTAACAGTCAAGTTCTGCTTCTTCATGTTCACCAGCTGTTAACTCTGGTGGAAAGTTCTGGATGTTTACCCATTTCTGAATTTTGGTCTCATCCTAGAACTGAAGTTTTGTGTGCATGTCCATTTTACTGAGTACTGAAATGTTACATCAAGCCTGTTCTGTTGTCTGGTAGTGAATCTTGGAATGTGAGCAAACAGATTAAGAAGAGTTTGGAGGCAACTGAGATGTGGTTCTTGAGAAGAATGTTGTGATTACCTTAGACTGCCAGAATGTCTAACAATGATTGCCTTAAAATGGCTAATGAAAGTAGAACATTATATACAACAATAAGAAGAAGAGTTCTTTGGTCATGTGATGAGAAAAGGAGTACTGAAGAATATCGTGGTATAGAGCAATAGCATCAGTAGAAGTGATCCAGAACATCAAAGACCGAAATCTGTGGAGATGCATGAACGCCTACGCCAGCTGACAAGTCACTTGATGATGATGATGATCCGTTTTACAGATCTGGTCTAATTATATGCAGACTTGTTAGGGGGCAGTCAGCCTATTTTTCTGTCCTCCACAATGGGTCCCCGGAAGCCACATGGGGAATTCAAGCTGAAAAGCCTAGAAACATTCAACAGAAATTTCAAACAACTTACGATGGTCTGAGTACAGCACATGGTACAGAGTTTCCCAGAACATCATTTGTTACAGCACAAACGTAACGGTTCTGAAAAGAAAATAGCTCTCAGTGAATAAAACATTATAAAAACTGTAATTCTTCTTTTGCCCTTAATAAATAACCATCTGGCTGGAACACAGACCCTAAACCAACACATACCATGTCTCCAATCCTTTGCCAACTTTTATGGATCCCTCCATATCCTCGCCGTTTTGACCATCCTTGCCTCTCACACCAAGTCTCCAATCTGTTGCCAACTCTTAAAGATCCCTCCATGTCCTCGCCATACTGACCATTCCTGCCTCCCACAGTGAGTCTTCTATCCTTTGCCAACTCTCAAAGATCCCTCCATGTTCTTACCATATTGACTATCCCTGCCTCCCACAGTGAGTCTTATATCCTTTGCCAACTGTTATGGATCCCTCCATGTCCTTGCCATACTGTCAGTCCCTGCCTCTCGCACCAGGCTTCCTATACTTTGCCAACTCTTATAGATCTTCCATGTCCTCACCATACTGCTCATCCTTACCTCTAATGCTCTTCTACCCTGATGGTTCCAATTCAAGGACATTCTAGTTACACTACTATTAAATTTTCTCCATGTGCATCGAATGCCAGCATCTTTCCCTCTCCTCACATTCTTTGGCACCTTTCCATCTTTCAGGGTCAAAGTGTTGCTTAAAAAAAAAAAAAGGGGGGGGGGGGGGGGGGGGGGGGGGGGGGGGGGGGTGAGGGGGGGGGGGGGGGGGGGTGGGGGGTGTGGGGGGGGGTGGGGGGTGGGGGACAATGGAAATCATAGTCCATGATTATATACTAATTATTGATAAATAGGAATAACAGGAATAAAGTTCCCCTTCCCCATAGCACAAAGCCTGGGAGGTATTGCTGAAACAATGATATACTAATTATTGATAATTAGCAATACCGGGAATAAGGTTACCTTTTCCTATAGCACAAAGCCTGGACAGTACTGCTGAGACTATCTGATCCTTTTTTCGACCTGCTTTGTTAACTTGAAAGTAAAGGTAACACCAACATGTTCTAAACAAAGCTGCTGCACAATCTGTCTGAACAGGCTCTGTCCGTCCACTTTTCTGATCTTCCCTCTCAGACCAGCTCCAAAACAAAGCTAAGGGCATGGTTTGCTCTACTTCGGCATTGAGCTTTCAGGTTGCATTTCCTCTTTCAAGGACAAGCCAGTATCCTTGCCCACTGTTCTCCTCCGCCTGAAGCTCTTGGCACAAGTGGGATGTCAGGTTCCGTATACAACAACCACACCTTGCATAATCTCATATGACATGTTTATATGCAATGACTTATTCCTGAAGCCTTGTTAAGGTTTCAGACCATGCCTTGAAATAGTGATTCCTATGTAAGCGAAGGTCCTCTTTGACTGCCCCATGGAGTCAGAAAGCACAAAGAAGAACAACAGAACTTAGCAATAAACTGCATTTATTCAGAAGACAGCACTGCATTTACAGATAGCATGAACATGCACACAAAAAAAAGAAATAATGCTTACAATTTTAGAAATGACTGAAGTCTGGCTATCTCTATCATTTATAGGTGTGAACTTGACCGGAATGAGGTCCTTGAACTTCAGTGGCCTTCCACTCATTGGACATCGCACTTTTTCATCCTGGGAGTAATATGTGTTGAAAGTCATGAAAATGTATAACACTGTGAACGACTCGCGGCACATTTTTTTTTTTTGCAGCCCCATCAGCAGAGTTTAGACACGGGTGTAATGGGTTGGCAGAATTGTAGTGTAAAAAAACTGTGTGGCTGCAAATTCTAGCAGTTCAGTGTACTGTGAAATTGCCAGGATTTTCAGCTGAATCTAAAGCTAAGGTCCTGGCTGGGCAGAATGGAGCTTATATAAGTCTAAATCCTCAAGTATGAGAACAGATGTTTCTGCAAATCACTCTGAGTGAAGATGGCTAGCGTGTAACGCAGTCAACAGAGCAGTCACCAAAGCAATTACGGTGTCAGGTCCATCATTACTGCATATTTTACAAAGACGAATGTGGCAAGTGTGGCGTATAAATACAAACATCTCACTTTCAAGGTTTTACATCTACTGTCAGGGTTATGCTGGAGTGTGAGACAATGAGCAAGTGAGTTAGTTTGGTTGAACAGTAATAACAGCTGCAATGCTCACAATGGAACCTGCTCTATAATTAGTATTTTTAACTGAAACAAAAGACCACCCCTCAAGTATGCACTTATCCTGCTAGATTCGGTCTCAGAGCTGCATTTGCATCATCAGTCTTTCCTGTCCTCTATCTCTTTAAGGTTCTTCTTAGTCGCATCTGTCCCTGTATTTACTGTCCTCTATCTCTTTAAGGTTCTTCTTAGTCGCATCTGTCCCTGTATTTACTGTCCTCTATCTCTTTAAGGTTCTTCTTGGTCGCATCTGTCCCTGTATTTCCTGTCCTCTATCTCTTTAAGGTTCTTCTTAGTCGCATCTGTCCCTGTATTTCCTGTCCTCTACTCTCTTTAAGGTTCTTAGTCGCATCTGTCCCTGTATTTCCTCGTCCTCTAAGCGCATCTTTTAAGGTTCTATCTTAAAGTCGCATCTGCATCGTCCTGTATTTCCTGTCCTCTATCTCTTTAAGGTTCTTCTTAGTCGCATCTTTCCCTGTATTTACTGTCTCACACAGTAGAAACCTGACTGCCCACCACACAGTATAAACCTATTCCCCCCTCCCCCACGACAGTATATAAACCCACTATTCCACCACAGCATATAAACCCACTATTCCTACACAGCATATAAACCCACTCCTTCACCACAGCATATAAACCCACTCCTTCACCACAGCATATAAACCCACTCCTTCACCACAGCATATAAACCCACTAACTCTTACCACACAAATATCAAATATAAACCCAAACTCACCACACCATAGAAACCCCCCCCCCCCACACACATATATTATAAACCCACTCCCCCACCACAGCATGAAAACCCACTCCCCCACCACAGCATATAAAGCCACTCCCCCACCACAGCATATAAACCCACTCCCCACCACACCATATAAACCCACTCCTTCACCACAGCATATAAACCCACTCCCCCACCACAGCATATAAACCCACTATTCCTACACAGCATATAAACCCACTCCCCCACCACACCATATAAACCCACTCCCCCACACCATATAAACCCACTCCTCCACCACACCATATAAACCCACTCCCCCACACCATATAAACCCACTCCTCCACCACCACACCATATAAATCCCACTCTACCCCACCTACACACATATAAAACCACTCACCACCACACCATATAAACCCACTCCCCCACCACACCCATATAAACCCACTCCCCTACCACAGCATATAAACCCACTCCTCCACCACACCATATAAACCCACTCCCTCACCATATAAACCCACTCCCCCACACCATATAAACCCACTCCCCACACCATATAAACCCACTCCCCCAACCCTATAAACCCACTCCCCACCACACCATATAAACCCACTCCCCTACCCCACCATATAAACCCACTCCCCACACCCATATAAACCCACTCCCCCCACCACAGCATATAAACCCACTCCTCCACCACCACCATATAAACCCACTCCCCCCACCACACCAAATAAACCCACTCCACCACACCATATAACCCACTCCCCCCCACACCATATAAACCCACTCCCCCACCACACCATATATAACCCACTCCCCACCACACCATATAAACCTACTCCCCCACCACCATTATAAACCCACTCCCCCACCACACCATATAAACCCACTCCCCCACCACACCATATAAAACCCACTCCCCACCACACACAAATAAAAACCACTCCACCACACCATTATAAACCCACTCCCCACCACCCCACAATATAAACACACTCCCCACCACACACATATAAACCCACTCCCCACCAAACCATATAAACCCACGCCCCCCACCACACCATATAAAACCCACTCCCCACCCACGCCATATAAACCCACTGCCACACCATACACAAACAAAAATTAGAAACTGACTGGCTTCTTGGATCTGCGTGGCCTCTGCTTGTGGTGTCAGTGATGGTATCCAGAAGCTGGGGCAGCTGTTTCTCTTCGCTTCATCCACATTTCGGACATGCTTCCATTCTTTTTTCTTTTCTTCTGCTGCTTTGTCTTCCGCTATAGAAGGTAATCATGAGCACAGCTTAGAAATAGAAGACATTGTTGCAATGGGAGAAATATTTCTGAAAGTTGTAGCAGAAAATTGACAGGAAAATGAGTACAATACTAAGAGTCATCTTCTTTCATTTATCAAACAGTTTATGCAATAAAGCGTCACAGAGAGGAGTTCGATTCTGCATTTCTGTAATGTCTCTCTACTCCCTCCACCCATCTCTTTCTTGGGCGGCCTCTTGCCTTGTAGCCTGCTGTTCTCATGTAGTACACTCTGGCTACTGGTGATTTGGTTCCATTCTGACCTGATGACAAAACCATTTGATTCTTTGATGTTCTATGAAATCATTTACCGCTACTGTGCCTACTACTGTTCTTAGTTCTTCATTGGTGACTGTCTCTTTTGGTTTTTCCCACAACATTTCAATACACCCCATCTGGTAAGATTGTATTTGGCATTTATATTTTCCAGGATTGTCCCATGTGGGCAACGATAGCAGAAAGTTGGTACGAACAGCACATTATCAGCGGCTTATTGGTTTTCTTTTTTAACTCTCCTTTTCGTATCTTGAGCTAACAATGAGATGGTAAACAAACATCTGAGCTAACACTGCAGATGGTAAACATCTGAGCTTCACACTGAGATGGTAAACATCTTGAGCTAACACTGAGATGGCGTAAACAGCTGCTGGAGCTAACACTGAGATGGTAAACATTCTTGAGCTAACACTGAGATGGTAAACATCTGGAGCTAAACAATGAGATGGTAAACATCTTGAGCTAAAAACTGAGCGTGGTAAACATCTTGAGCTAAAAACTGAGATGGTAAACAGCTTGAGCTAAACACTGAGATGGTAACATCTTGAGCTAAAAAAGTGAGATGGGTAAACATCTTGAGCTAACACTGAGATGGTAAACATCTTGAGCTAACACTGAGATGGTAAACATCTTGAGCTAACACTGAGATGGTAAACATCTTGAGCTTACACTGAGATGGTAAACATCTTGAGCTAAAACTGAGATGGTAAATAGTTTGAGCTAACACTGAGATGGTAAACATGTTGAGCTAACACTGAGATGGTAAACATCTTGAGCTAAAACTGAGATGGTAAACATCTTGAGCTAAAACTGAGATGGTAAACATCTTGAGCTAACACTGAGATGGTAAACAGCTTGAGCTAACACTGAGATGGTAAACATCTTCAGCTAACACTGAGATGGTAAACATCTTGAGCTAATTCTGAGATGGTAAACATTTTAAAATAAGCCAAAAAAAAAGGCAGCTTCTGGTGAACAGAAGCTCTCCTTTTCACATATCTGATTCATGAAATTTGCAATGACCCTGGTTTTATTCACTCTGGCTCCACTCACTTCCAACTCCTCTTTCATGCACCGACAGTCAACCATGAGTAAAAAATGGACGGCAGTGAACAATACAATGCGGTTTCACTCTTCTTCACTCGCTGTTTTCTTCAGCCGGTACATCGTGAAGGACACGTCTAGGTACCCATATCTATCCTACAATGTATTTATAATAAACAACTTTACCTTTCTGCCAAAACATACAACTTCCATTACACAATAGCAATTGAACACAAACAACTGTTCTTCGTGACGGTGGCGAACACAATCAGCTGGCAGACGATTTACCGTCAGTCTTTGCTGCCTGGCCAAGTAGGCGTTAGAAACTTTGCAGACTTATCATAACGCACACTGGATACAACAAACATGTCTCCGCTCTCCATGCATTCAGTTTCTCGGCCCAAACGAGACTGTCCACATGCTCTTTCTAAGGCATTATATAATCTTCTACCACCCAGATTATAATTACGCCCGCATATGACTTTCTCGTGTTCTCTAATTCACACGGGTTTCATTTGGCCAACATTTTTCCCATGCATTTCGGCTTTGCCCTCGTTACATTTAAATATCTATTCTTATTCATTACCTGACATCATTCCTTCTGTAACATAACTTATCAAGGAGAAAATGGTTCACTACATTGTTTACATAGCTTCAGATAAGCCTCAATGTCTGACTAAGGAACAAACATAATTATTGCATACTTCATCTTCTTAGCGTTTACAGGCTGTAAACTTGCAGAAAGTTCTGTTTTGTGTGTGTCCATTTCTGGACTTTGCTCCTGTCCCAGAACTCAAATTCTGCGTGCACATCTGTTTTACAGATCTGGCTTATTTGTGTGAAGACTGATAGTTTCTCACCTGTCTTTCAAAATAAACTATTTTAATTAGTTGCCTTGCAGGATACACATTTTGGGAGGCAGTAGGTCTATTCTTGTTTCCCCCAAGACTAAAATGATAATATATCAACATACCATATTTGAGGCCTATAGGATTAGATTCTTGTTGTGCAAACTTCTGTCCTCTAGACTCTTGCTCTGCCCTAGCCAGTTCTGCAGCTTCTTTCTGTGGATGTATCGATATGCCTGTGATATCTGTTAATTAATT